CTGAAGACAAAGCAGGTGCATAAGCAAATGTGGTGAAGAAAGCTGATGGAGCCCGGCTATTAAAAGATACAGTGTCTGGGGTCTTAAAGTCTTGAAGGTAAACAAGCAACCATCTATCTCAGAAGCAACAAAGCCCACGTGGAAGAAGCACAAGCACATCAGCCTGTGTGATCATGAGGTGTTGAAGGGATCAGGTATCAGGCATCAAAGAACAAAAAAATCATATCATTGTGAATGAGGGGGCAGTGTGGAGTGGGGACCCAAAGTCCATCTGTAGGCAACTGGACATCCCCTTATGGAAGGGTCACGGGGAGGAGACAAGCCAGTCAGGGTGCAGTGTAGCAAGAACCATACAACTTTCCTCTAGTTCCCAAATGCTTTCCCCCACTTCTCACTATCATGATCCCAATTCTACCTTACAAATCTGGCTAGACCAGAGGATGTACACTGGTACAGATGGGAACTGGAAACACAGAGAATTCAGGACAGATGATCCCTTCAGGACCAGTGGTGAGAGTGGCAATACCGAGAGGGTGGAGGGTGGGGTAGAAAGGGGGAGCGGATTACAGGGATCTACATATAACCTCCTCCCTGGGGAACAGACAACAGAAAAGTGGGTGAAGGGAGATGTCGGACAGTGTAGGATATGACAGAGTAATAATTTATGAATATCAAGGGTTCATGAAGGACCGGGGAGTGGGGAAGGAGGCGGGGTAAATGAGGAGCTGAAGCCAGGGGCTTAAGTGGAGAGCAAAGGTTTTGAGAATGATGAGGGCAACGAATGTACAAATATGTTTTATACAACTAATGTATGTATGGATTGTGATAAGAGTTGTATGAGCTCCCAAAAAATGATTTAACAAAAGAAGTAGGTTGAACAGCCAATTATTTAATAACTGTCAAAAATGTGTACACCTGTAAGTGGCACGATTAATGTAATACCTATTTGCAGTAAGGGAAAAAGCCCATCTGCCAGGGCTTTTGATGTACAACCAAAAGCTGATCTGGGATCTGGCTTCTTGGTTTGGAGGTGCAGGGTAAGGGTTTCATAAGAGAGCCCAGGAAACTGGCCCAATGGCATGCTTAGTGCTTCTGGTTTCTCTCAGACAGTTACCTGCTTAGCACCTGTGGTCTTAAAGCTCACCTGGGGCCACCCAGGCCACAACAACTGGCTGCTGTTCGCGTGGAATCAGAAATGATGAGGAGAGTGAGGGAGAGGAGGAGGAGATGGGATGTGACTCAGTGTCCCCATGAACAACAATGGCCTCGTTGGCCAGGAGACCAGAACTGGAGGGTGCCTGGTGACCACGACTAAACATTTTCATCAAAGTCTCTGCAAGAAAACCTCCTTCCACATGAAGGGGGAAAAGCAGAACAGAATTCCAAATTCTATGGACTCCAGACTGCTTGGAGCTGTGAAGGTTGGATGAACCCTTGACATTATTGCCTTGAAATCATCTTTGAAACTTAAATCACAAATGTCTCCTGAAGTCTCCTTAAAGCAAGTATAGTCAGCCGTACTCAGGGAAAACACTCTGACAAGCACTGTCCTATTTTAAAAACAAACTACCAATATGGAATCCGATGGACAAAAGTAACGTGAAAGGTTAGCCAGGAACCTGAGGAGTAGTCGACTTACGCAAACGCGGAAGGAAAGGCTCAGAAAAGGAGGGAGAACAGGGAGTAACCACAAGAAAGCGATCAATGTCACTGAACGGCGCACGTGAGAAGGGTGAATTGCTGGTTTCCCGTGTGCGCTTCGTGAAAATCATAAGAAAAGAACACACGTGCAACCTGACGACCAGCCCCACTCAAGCTTTGCAAGCCAGCAGTGATTACTTTCAATACCAGGGGTCCTCAAACCATGGCCCAAGGGCCAAATGCGGCCCGCCGAGGATATTTATCCAGGCCGCCAGGTGTTTCTGCCCCGTTTTGGTTTTTACTTCAAAATAAGATTTGTGTAGTGTGCATAGGAATTTGTTCATAGTTTTTTTTTAAACTATAGTCCGGCCCTCCAACGGGTCTGAAGGACAGTGAACTGGCCCCGTTTAAAAAGTTTGAGGACCCCTGGTCAACACACCACAGAACTACATCCCCAGCCCACAAAGAAACAAAGGGGCTCCTCCCAACACCCAGGAAGCAGCCAGAAGCCGTACCTCTTTCAGTAGAAGAATGGTGCGCTCAATATCGCTCAGACTCGGAGGGGACAGTGCAGTCGCCAGCAGAGCCCTCGGCTCACCCATGTCCAAGAGTTTCACTTTCAATATTGTGCTTCCTAATGGACAGCGCTAAAAAAAGTCACATTTACAAATAAAGAACTAAATCCATTAACATTGTCACAGCACTAGTGGTTTAAAGAGTGGGGCAAAGAAAGGCGTGAGAAGGTGAGAGAGAAAGATGGAGGAGGCAGAGGAACAGAGCAGGAAGGATAAGGAGAGTGGGCCGGGGCAATGGACAGAGAGGCGAAGAGGGAGTGAGACACCCTGAGAGAAGGGAGAAAGAGGAGGTCGGAGACAAGCTAGCTGTGGTGGCTGGTGATAAAGGAAGCAGGAGCAGCAACATCGCATGGGGCCCATCCCATCATGGAGGCGACAGACCCCAGGATGCCTCCTGACACCACAATCTACCCTGTGTGCAGTGTCCCAGGGCTTCCACAAGCTCCTGCTATGACTAAGGACAGGATGGTCAGAAATGAAGCTCCCTGGAACCCAGGTGGCCCACCCCCTGGTATCACCTTCCTCAGACAGCTGGGTAACACTCGCGTGTGAACACATTACCAGCATCTCGGGGACAACATGGTTCAGGATGGAGCGGTCCCAGAAGTCCCTGTGCACCAGCCTGTAGCAGTAGCCCTTCGACACTCGCCCCGCACGGCCTTCAGGGAGAGGAGAGCAGACACTGGTCTGTTACATTTGCAGTGTGACAGTATGTACAGAGGAAGACCACGTTCAATGCTGACACAGTACAAGCCTTGTTCTCGTCTAACAGGCCCGGTGACATGGGGTGGGTCACCTTGAGGCAGAATCAACTGCAGCATCCAACAGTGGCTCCAGTGGTGGGTGACATCACCACTAGGGGGCGCTGGATGGGAGGACAGGGCCTCTAAGCTCTATTTTTCTAGCTTTCTGTTAGACAAAAAAATTTCATAAGGGTTTTTTTTTTTTTTAGCCAATTACAGAAATTTTGAACAAACCACAGGTAGACAAAAGATGCAACTTATAATCTTACAACTGGCCCATCGGTAGCCACTTTTAACTTCTTATCTCTTTCCAGCCCTGTTTTGAGGCAGTGTTTGGGGTTTGGGGATTGAGACGATTACATAAGTTCAATTTTACACCCCTTTTCTTTGTCTTTTTAAATTTAATAATTTTATTGGAGGTTCGTACAACTCTTATCACAATTCATACATACATCCATTGTGTCCAGCACATTTGTACATTTGTTGCCATCATTCTCAAAGTATTTGCTTTCTACTTGAGCCCTTAGTATCAGCTCCCTCCCCGCTCTTCCTCCCTCATGAATCCTTGATAATTTATAAATTATTATTATTTTCTCATATCTTATACTGTCCAATGTCTCCCTTCACCCACTTTTCTGTTATCCATCCCCCAGGGAGGAGGTTATATGTTTTACACCCTTTTTCAATTAGTGTAAGAACACACCACTCAAGGTGAGAGTGCTCCCACATTTTGAGATGCTCTTTAGGACCACAGCTAACAAACCCCTACCCTCCTAGGAGTGCTCACGTGGCACAATGGTGACAGTCCAGGGAGAACCCCAGGGCCTGTGGGACCCACCCAGGCCTGCTGGGAGAGCACAGGCCGAGAGGGCAGAGCTGGCAGCCAGCTGGCACTCCCATGGGCAGGTTCACTAGGCACTGGTGCACGTAGGGGTTGGAGCAGGCCTCCGGCCTCCGGCTGGCTCAGGAATCCTGCCCTGGGAAGAGCAGAGCAGGGCGGGGCACTCCATGCCCCTTCCCTCCCCAGCCACTGTCCACCGAGAGCAGGGGCAGGGCCAAGAGGGACTGACAGCCTCCCCACAGAGACAGAGAGCCAGTTGCAAGCCCTGAGACAGGACACACATGAGGTGCTGCATATGAGGGCAGAGAGTGAGCGTCCACACGCAGGCCACAGACGGGGCCTCACCTTGCCTCTGGTCACAGCTGGTCTTGGAGGCCCAGCTCAAGCGCAGACTCTGGTAGTTGGTATCTTCATCACAGACCAGGGTTCTCGTCAGACAGAAGTCTATCACTGCATTGGGGAGCGGCCATCAGCAGGACACTCCCAGGAAGTGAGGACAACACAGGAGCCACGAGCCTCCAGAGGGAACACACGCAGGGCCCAGGAACCCCCCAGATGGGACAAGCTGGTCACCTGTTGCTGCCGCCGCAGCAGCCACTGCCCATTCCCCTGCTCACTTCACTCCACCTCCTTGCTCTCATCCTTTCCAGAGCACAGAGGGCTCCCTCAAATAGCACCCTCTGGCTGACACCCACCTGTCCATCTAGGGCCCTACCCCACAAGTCCCTACTTTTTTCCTCAGCCTCACCATCATTGTATTTATCTCACATATCCTATGTGATACCCTCTCCTGCTGCTCATGCTGTTAAAGCAGGTGCGTTGTCTGTCTGTCTGTCTGTCTGTCTACTGCCCCAGCACAGACACTGCCCCTTGGCCCAGCCCAAAGGGTTGCCTGGCTGCTCCTAACTGGCCACAGCGAAAGACAGCATCTCTGGACGCGGCCATCAGTCAAGGCCTCTGCCGGGCCACACTCTTCCTTCCCAGGCCCTTCCTGCTCCCTGTGCCCCTGTAGCACAGCCCCTCATGGCTGCCCAAAGCATGCTGCCTCTCCCCACTGGAACAGCGCTGGCCCGGCAGCCTTTCACTTTCACAGCCTCCCAGAACACACATGCAGTTCAGTAGGGACAGAACTGACCTGCCCCTCCCCACCCCCCACTGCTGGCCTAGGTCACAGAGTTCCCTGTCCCCAGGGTCCCCAACATCTCCTCTGAGCCACTTTGCCCCAACGCTGCTCTCTGATGAGAGGCAGTGAGTAGAGCAAGAAAAGGTCAGAGGCTCTATGAGCCCAATGGGCTGTGGGCTGAACTCTCTTCTTGGGAGGCCTAGAGGGACAATTCCAGAGGAGTAAGAAGTGGCCTTACCATATTTGACATCTGGAACTGTTACAGAGCTCTCAGCAATGTTGGTAGACAGAATAACCTGTCAGACACCGAGGAAAGAACAATGTCAGCAAAAGTTCACCAAAAGCTTTATACTAGACTCAGATTTTAATATCTGTACAAAAACAGAATTCGGTGGGGAGAAGAGGGCTTAAGTTAAATCTCAGAGATGTGATCTGCCCAAAGTCACACAACTTTCGGTGCAAGGACAAGACTCCAGACCCAGGTCTGTCAGCCCCGAGTCCACAAGCATGAGCCGCACCTCACACCTCGCCCGGAAACCGGCACCCAGCACAGACACCAGCCACACGCACCCTGTATGGCAAGGGCCAGACGCAGGGTGTCAGAGTCTGGTTGGTGGAGGACAAAATCTCATGTAAGCAGACAGACAAGATGACGGGGTCTGGGGTCGAAGAGATGCTGAGGCCTGCAGTGCCCTGGCACTGCCCACTCTCGCAGGCTGGCCCCAGAGTAATCCTAGGCGTGACTTGTCACCTCAGAAGGCGGTGTGCGCATACTGGGTGAGGCGAGATAAATCCTCCCTCGAAGGTGGGTGCTCACCACCATCACCCAAGTGGTCCCAGGGACACCAAAATAGTCCCTAATGTGAGACCTCCCCCAGCCACACTCCCAGGCAGGCCCACAAGCTCACACACGAGACAAAGACCAACATAAGGCCACAGCAGCTGGACATCCATAAGCGACTACCACCAGCAGAGGCCCAGAGGGAGCGCTTCTGTAGGCGACCCCAGCCAAGCTGCCAAGAGCCCATCTGTGCTGCTCCCTACCTTTCTGTACCCAGGCACTGGGCTTAAAAACACATTGTTCTGCTCTTCTAAAGTCACGCTGGAGTGGAGAGGGTAGACCTGCAGCCTAAGGAAAAAAGTGCCAATCATGACATCTCTACAAGGTGGGATCACAGAAGACCCAACAGGTGCAGCGCTCTCTGTGGTGGTGGTGGGTAGAGGGGTGGGGACACAACATGCCCTCTAGATGTGTGGGGGTGGGGGTGGGGTGGGGGTGGAGACGAGGGCGGGGTTAAAGAAAGCAGCAATGCCCTCTGCTGGGCAAGCATGGCCGCAGGACCCCTGAAACCGCACCTTTTATGAACCATATTTGTGAGAAGTTCGTGCATGTAGTTGATTTCACCCAGACCTGCAGAAGAAAAAATGTGAGGCAGAAAAAAGTTGCTTACTAAAAGCAAACCATCACAGTAAGGTTTGTTTTTCTCCCCCCAAAGAAGGCCCTACCAATTCGTTTTGACTTCCACCTCCTAGTAAATCAAAATTGTACCAAAAAGCACAATGATGTTCACTAGTTAGTAGTCACTTAAAAATAGAAACTTTCCCCCAGGTTTTCCTTTCATTAAGTGACTACTGTGTATGTCTTTGCTTTTTCTCATATATCACAAATTTCTTTAAATTACCACGAAAAAATCTTTATAACCAAAGTTTTAAAATTTTGGTCATAAAGAAATGCTACATTCTTTATTAGCTTCAAAAGATATTTATCAGTGTGTAAAATCCATTTTGGGGGAGGCTCATCATGAATGAACAAGATCTGAGCAGCAGCAGTTAGTGCCCTCGAGAAGCATGGATTACATTTGAATTCACATGCACTCACAACAGAAAGATGACAGACCTAACCCAGCCATGAGCTGTCCCTGACCACTGTGGCCAGTTACACCCTGGCTTCAGGTGCTCTGGGCCACGGCACCCCAGTAGCAAGAAGGCTTTCCCGAGGGAAGCTTAAGCATGGACTGAGGACAGTTAGCTCAAGTGTAACCGCGCGCTGGGCTTCACAAAGCCCGACACTTCATTAAGAATTCTACAGGCTGTCAAGGCTGTCTTCAGATGAAAAAGGAACCTCCTCGTGGTTAGTAAGAAGTCTTTGGGGGAAGTACCAAGGTCACCACCAGAGGCAAACACGAAGACCCATACATCCAAAAGCTCAGCCTGGGCAAGTCGCCACTTGGGAGACCACTGCCCTTTGGGGCTCCCTGCCCAGTGCCCCCCACCCCCAGCCACCTGGCCCAGGCTCCAGTACGGTGCACTCACCTGGCAGGAAGACCAAGACACTGCTCCGCTCTGCCATGAAGTGGGAGCCTGACCAGCCCTCGCTCCTGTGAGGAAGGTGCAGAGTACCCAAGTCAGGCCAAGCCCTGCAAGCCTTCATGTCCCATGAGGCCCAGACCAATGCACAGCCTGCAATTCTTGGAGTTCAGTCACGTTAAGTCATACTGATAAACACTTAAAATAACTAAATGCAAAATGTAAACTTTAAGTAGTCCTAGCCATCATCAGAAAGCATTTTTATAATCCGCTTACTTCTCGGGAAAACTAGACCTTTGCTTGCCCACGAACCCAGCAGCTCTGCCTCCTGCCCAGCCCTCTCCCGGGCAGCTGCCATCACGGTCCTAAGACATACAAGCCCTTCAATTTGGGACCCACATTCCGCTGGAGAGATGGACAAGACACAGGTCAACAACTAAGGCACCTTCAGCACAGCAGAAGACAAAAAAGAAGCCGTAGGGTGACCTGAGAAAGAGCCAGGGGGCGGGGGAGGCACACTAGGGGCTGGGGAGGGGAGCAAGAAGGCACTGTGGAAATACTCCACCCAACACTGCAGGCTGTGCCATGGGACGGGAGTCACAATCACCACAATAGCAGGGGGTGCAGCTTCTTCTTGGGCCAGCCCACCCTGGACTTGTGGGGAGACCACCATAACCACACAGACCTGATCTATGGAGAGACCAGGGGCACTGGGAGAACAAGGATGGACACTTGTGCCTCGCAGTCTCACCCAAGGGGATGCTGCCCAGTCCGTGGAGAAAGGAAGTCCTCCAGTGAGCGAAGGCTAAGTCTGAGACAGACATGGGGCTGGAACCGCTCTGACCGAGGGCAGGTGGGGGCCGTGGCTGATGACAAATGGGTGGGATGAGGCATCTGAGGAGCCCCTGGAGTGGGCAGCCCTAGCGGGACATCACCATCGAGGGCAGGCCGTCAGTCATCCACCTGCTGGGGTTCCTCCATGTGCACACCGTGACCATGCAGACTCTGCCTGTCCAAGGCTCACCAGCTCCCAGCACCGTAGAGGAGCAGCCAGTGGTGCAGGGCCAATATCAGGGCTCCAACAGGGCACTTTCTCGGGAACCAGGCCAGCTGAGGGCAAGCCAGGTACCTGGTTCTCGCCACCACTGAGGGGTAGTGCTGGGTTCTCATGAGCAGAGATACACACTTGTAAGACGGCACTAGCAAAGCCGTCCCTTGAAGACTAAAGTGCGCCGGGCCCAAGCACAGTGCTCTCCAGGGCCTCACAAGCAGGGGCAAGCTGGGCAATGACTGAGGAGGACCCCAGGCATTCGCACAATGGTGCTGATGGGAACACGGGAACACCACGCATGGCCACATACAGGCAATGCTGTCTTAGTACAAGTGCAGCCAGAATGCTCCTTCCAAGAGACGAGGGCAGGCTTGGTTTCATAGATGTAGACATACTACCAGGAAAGACCGGTTTCTGGAGAAGGACATTGTGCTTGGTGAACCACAAGGGCCTGTGGATGCAGCAACGGGCTCTAACACAGCAACTACCGTGAGGGCAGCACAGGAGCGGCAGTGGCTCCTTCCACTATCCACAGGGAACAGCAGCAGCGCTGTTCAGCGGGAGGGAAGGACTGTACAACAAGTCTGAATGTAGACAAATGTACTGTGGGAGGGAGAACATGTACGAGTGTGTGGGTGTGCATGACAATGTGTGTGCATGAGCGTGTACGGCTGTGTCTGAGTGTGTGTCTGAGCATGTTTGGGTGTATGAGGTGTGCAGGTGTGTGGGTATGCATGAGTATGTCTGCATGTACAGGTGGGTAGGTGAGCATGAGGATGTGTGTGAACAAGTACAAGTGTCTGGGTGTATGAGTGTGTATGGGTGTAGGGCATGTACAGGTCTGTGAGTGTATGAGAGTGTGTAGGGGTGTATGAGAGAACGAGAAGAGAGGTGCTATAAGCTCTGAGAGAAAAGAAAAATAAAGCCATCCAAGCTCTCTAGCTCCAGCCGCTCCGCAGGGCGCACATGCATTCCCATTGTCCCCAGTCTTTATAGCCGTGGTGAATGAGCCTTGGAAAGAGTCAGTAACACAGCTGACCAGGTCTCCATGGCTGGGACAATGATCACAGCCTGGCAGACGCCTCCAGGAGCAACAGAAAAAGCCAAGAGTGGCTCCTGTGGCTCCTGTGTGGGCAGCTGCACCACCAAGGAGCCCCACTGGGCCTGGTTACTGCTCCCTCTACCAGGAGCTGGCCAGCAAAAAGAGGCAAAATCTGAACCTGTTTCTGAGCGATAGACCCTGAGAGAAGCCCCACTGTGTGCCCACACTGAAATAAACACACACCACCAACTTACCCACTCTCCTTCACATCCAAGTCATCAAACATCTGAATGAGGGCGATGGCCACCTTGTAAATGTCTTTGGGGATCACTGGCTCCTCTAGGAGGTGAGGAGAAAGCTGGAAGGGGGAAGGAAATGCTGGAGGCCTGGGGGCTGCTCAGGTCACCCATCCCGTAGTCAGCCACCAAGATAAGTGCCCCACAAGGTGCCAGGGCTGGCTCCCCATAGCCTCTGGTGGAGCAGGGAACCTGACACCTTGGAGGCATGGGTCAAGATGTATCCACATGGAGGGAGCCCTCAGTATCAAGCACTCACCTTGGAGCCCTAAGACAGAAACACAATAACGTAGGGACACTGAGCTTCGACCATTGTGAAGGATGCAACAGAAGGCATCCTGGTCCTCCTTGGGATACCAATTGCAAATGCCCCGCCCTTTTCCCCAGTGTGAACTTAAAGTAAAATACACCAGCTACTGTTGCCAATAGCCCATTTCTCACTAGTAGGATAATCCCAGTGTTTATCAAAATTACCTTTACCTCATCAGTAGTTTTGAAGAAGGGCTCCTGCTAAAACCCGCCCTTTACCTGGAATAACTGTCTACTTTATTCAAACACCTAAGGGAAATAGAGAAATGGCAAGCAGCCCCAACCAGCACTCCCCCCACCCCCAACACTCTGACACACACACACACACACAACCTGGAGAAAGCGCAAATTCACCCAGTCATCCCTAGGAGTGCTTGGGACCCAGGCCTGATAAGCGAACTGTCTTCTTTTTTTTTTTTTAAGCATTTTATTGGGGGCTCCTAGAGCTCTTTATCACAATCCATACATACATCCGCTGTGTCAAGCCCCCTCACATTGTATCGAGTGAGTGAAAGGCCATTTCCAACATATGTACATATGTTGCCATCACTTTCAAAATGTTTTCTTTCTATTTGAGCCCTTGGTATCAACTCATTTTCCCCCTCCCTCTCTCCCCCACCCCCTCCCTCATGAACCCTTGATAATTTATTAAAAATCCCACCCCCCCTAACATATACACACTTTCAACAAGCCTCGAAGACATCAAATCAGTCCCCTTCACACCCATGGGGACAACCACCACCAGAAAGTGAAACAGCACCCCAGCTCCTGCTGCTGCAACGGGGCTTGCACTCGGTGCAGCCATTGCGGACAGGAGCCGGTGCGTCCTGGGAAAGCAAAGGTGGGGCGTACACGTGTGCTCACTGCACTGGAAACAACGGGTCCTCACTGCCTTACACTTGAGTGTGCACCCACGTGTGTGCATGTGTCTAACCACCACTGCTGCAGCTGTCATCCCGCTCGGAAGGGCTTGTCTTTACTATATTAACGAGGGTACGGTGTGCTTGCAGCCCATCAATCTTCTGAAAATAGAATAGAGGCGAAACAAGCAAGCAAGCAGAGGGAACCAGGAAGCCAGCTGAAGAGAAGAGGAGCGCCCCCTAGAGGTGACAGGCAGAGAGCGCGAATGCAGGCCAGCTCTGTAAAGCCACCCCACTGCTGCAGGTGCACCAGGACATGGAGACACCAACCTACCCTGCTGTGGTGGATGTGCCCCAGGTCATCCAGGTAATACTGCTCGATCAAGTGGGGTTTGCCCTCCACTTCAAAGATGTGTGCGGGCTTCATTGTGTTCTGAACAGGGACTGCAAAGTAGTCGGCAAACTCTTTACAGTTGATGGTGGCCGACATCAGGACCACCTGAAAGCAGAAGGAGAACCCCTGAAATCAGCCCCCACCCCAGAAACAGACTTCGTTTACTTTTAGATCATGGCTTGCTGCTGGCCCCCTCCAACCCCATATGGTTTGAGCACGCACGAGGCCTTGTTTCAATCTCCAGAGAAGCAACAGAAGACTGAGTTTACAAACTGCTTAGAGACTAGCTGCTACGATTTCTATTCAATTCTGAGGGGAAAATGGAAACGATGAAGATTGTGGAATTGTCCCACACACATTCTGGAGCCCCCTCATTGTATCGAGTGAGTGAAAGGCCATTTCCACTAAAGATACATGGCTGTGGCTGTGGTTGTTAATTGCCGTTGGGTCAGCTCCAACCCATAGCGACCCGACACGCCACAGAAGAAAGCAGTGCCCCCTCTCACACCATCTGTACAACTGTTGTTACGTGTGAGCCCGTGGTTATGGCCACACTGTCAGTCCAACTCTTTTTCAGTGACCCCTCCCTTTACTCTAAGAAGACACTTTGCCTCAGAAGCTGATGTGAAAGTGAGCAAACCATTGGAAGCCGAGTCTCAGAAAAGAAGGGCCGGAGGCCCTGAAAAGCAGTGCTTCATCCTAGCAGACAGCTTGTCACCACAAGTTGGAGCCAACTCAAGGGAAACTGCCGCCCACCTCACCCTCACCCCACCCAGGACAAAGGAAGGCACACAGGGTGCCAAAAGCTGGGATCCAAGCATAAGTGGTGGTGGCCATCCAGCCATGTCCCAGAAGGCACTGCACTCCAGGCTCAGCGCCACTCATTGTAGCCACAACACTAAGCAGGCCATGGATGTGGCTCCCCGCCAGCACCCACAATGGCGAGCACCCTATTCCGGGGGCTTCGGGAAACAGGCTGAAAGCCAGGGGAATCTCTCCATGAACTGATGAAGCCCAGGGAGAAAGCTTGGCGGGAAAGTTAAACTGGCATCAGTGGCACTTGCCAGGAGGCATAGACAGTGGAGAGCCTCAGAGTTCATTCTGTCTGAGGTGGTAAGATGCTCCGAGCAGCCACCTGTGGGCATGAGTGGCCCCAGGGGACATGCCAGTGATCACAAGCCTTTTGTTTGGTTGGTATGGACTGATGGGTACAGAGGAGCTCCCCATTTTCTCATGCCGCCACCCCTCCCCCGCCCCCTCTTCCGACAAGAGCAAGCACACCCAGCCTGTGCCAGGGTGGCCTTGCCCAGGGCCTGGCTGGCTACAGCTGGCAGGAGGCCAGTGGGGCAAAGAGGAGCTCAAGACAAAAGGCTGGCTAAAGGCAGGGAGGAGGGAGCCTCACAGCCCCCACTCTTAGCAGCTCTCTTTAAAACCTCAGTGAGCAAATTTTGAGTTTATAGAAGTTTTTATAATCCCGTCTAGAACTTGATGTCAATTTCCTGGCCCGATACGTGCACTGTTAAAAGCGCTATAGTTAGCAGCCATGCTGCTGTGCCTGATTTTGAAGAAGCCTTGAAGTTACTGAAGACCATTACTACTCATGCACCTGGTCCAGACCACCACCCCAACCTCCCCAACTCCCTTGGAAAACATCCTTAACTCCCTTTAAGACTCCTTATCAGGAGTGAGTCTAAAGATGATCATCAGATCAGGCCCAACTTGAACTATCTTCAGTGCTATTAACTTCCTGTCACCTGGGCAACAAGATCACCACTGCTGAATGACCCATAAACCCCACCTGGCTGAGCACCACCAAGTGAGTATCCCACCTTGGGGGGGGGGGAGGGCGGGGCAGGAAATTCCCTAAACAAATAAATGGATTAAACACTTGACTGCACACTCCTTCATGATTTAGAAACCAACTGTTTTCCATCACGCTTGTGCCTTCAGCCCTGGTGGTACAGTGGTTACAAGTTGGCAGTTGGAAACCCTCAGCCACTCCAAGGGAGAAAGATCAGGCTTTCTACTCCTGTAAAGAGTCTCAGTCTCAGAACCACGGGGGCAGTTCCACCCTGTCCTCTAGGTCTCATGGGCTCGTTGGCAGGGAGTTTGGAGTTTCTGGCACCGCTCCGTCAGCAATCCTGTAGTGTAACACGCACACTCCATCTCTACCACCTTGGGAGACTGTTCCCGAGAGCCCCTTCTTGGCTTGGCTGAGCTGACCTCCCTTCAGACCTGATCAGCTCCCTTCTTTACATGGCCAACTCCATCCTTTGGCCTGACCCACCCACGTTGCTAAGGCAGCAAACAGTGCATGCGTGGTTCTCAGCCTTCCGTCCACCTTAGGGAGTGGTTTCTCAGACAAGGCTGCACATGCATTCGTGTCCCTGTATATCGTGGTCCTGAACCAAACCCAACCCACTGCCATCATATCACACCCATTCCCATTCCCATTCAGTGGTGATTTTGTTGCCCAGGTGACAGCAACCACAGTGACATATCACAGGGTTTCTGAGGCTATCAGTCATGCCGGGAACAGACAACCTCATCTTTCTCCTATAAAGCAGCTGGTGGGTTTGAACCACTGACCTTGAGGTTCTCAGTCCAATGCTTCCACAACAACCTCTCATTAGAGTCACTGGGTCATTTTCTGCAGCCTTGAGAGTTTTTACCATTTCATGCAGAATGGTAACCCTAAAGCCCTGCGTATGTGGGGAGAAGAGCATACCGCTTGCCTGCTTCCCAGCAAGCTCTGGGGCATCACAGGTCACTGGTTCAGCTTTCTTTACTGGGGTAACAAAACACAAAACTACATGACAAATCCCAACTGTGAACATTTCCGTTAACTCACAGAATGGAACGTACCTTCACAAAACGCGAATTTGTTCTTAAAAGTTTGCGGACCACCAACAGCAGGAAATCCATTTCTTCAGTTCGTTCGTGCACCTGAAGAGTGAGGAGGGGCATATGTGAGCAGGCAGCCTGCTAAGCTCGGGCCACCAGTGCTCACTGACACTCAAGAGATCAGTGAAGGCACATAGACATCACTGTGCAGGCCCAGAGGTGCTCCTGTGTTAGCCTGACCCCAGAACTTCTCGAAGCCAAGCATCCTTCCCAGACAGAACAGTGTGGGACTATCAGGTCCCCACTGAGTGGAAGCTATCAGGGTCACATGACACCATGGCTCCCAGCTTATGAAATGTTAAGTTTTGTCTCGCCCTCTCAGAAAGACAAATCATCACATAACACTAAGAAAACTTCTGAGCCACAGAAAACACTACGCTGCTTTGCAAAGAACCAGTCATGTTACCACTTCCTGCCTCCCCAAACCCAACACCCGCCTCACGGTAATTTAAAACCAGGTCAGTCCACAAAAGATGCTAAGCATGTGGGCTCAGGTTGACCTGGTGTCAGAGACTGACTCAGCTGGGCCACAAGCCTCGGTGTCTGGGCAGCTCTGCCTCAGGTCTCCTGGCATGCTGAGAGGACACGCCCAACTATGGCAAGTGAATCCAAGGGGGAATGCAACCCAGTGAATCCCACTTATGCCTGATGGGTCTAGGCGGGGGTCCCCAGGGATTTCGCCTGCAACACCTTGATCTCATATGAGAGAGAGAGAAACGAGCAGAGAGGGGGACTACGGCCACCAAGAAAGAAGAGCTCGGAACAGTGGGAATCCTTTGGATCTGGATGCCCATGCTGGGACCTACCAGACACAGGACAAACTTCATGCCCAGACACATGGTGCGCTCCAAGGAACACAAGGCCCTCGGATGCTAATAGCAGGCGAAACCTTGCTGCTCAACATGAGCCCACAAGGAGCAGCAGGCCTGCCCAAGAGTGGGCACCTGAGCGGGCTTCCAGCCTCCTCAACTGTGAAGAACAGGTGTCTTAGATAAAGCCATGCCTTTCTGGTATTTCTGTTACAGGATCACTCACTCCGGAACTAGACAGCTGTCCATGGTTTGACTTCAGACCAATCTCACAACCCGTTACAAACCCCACTGTTTGCAGATGCTTATAATGTCTCTAGAAGCCATTAGGGCTTCGAGAGATATCACTAATGAGGCTTCCAACCCAAGAGATGTGGTAGACCCATATCCAATGCTCCTGAGAAAACAACCTTCAGCCCCAGCTTGAGAACTCGTTTAAAATATAAAAAACGACCAATTCAATAGCCCATTCTTACCAAGAAAAACCCCCCGGAGGGTGAGTGAGAGTGTGTGAGAGAAAGAGAGACAGAGAGAGACAGAGAGAGACAGAGAGAGACAGAGAGAGAGAGAGAGAGAGAGAGAGAGAGTGTGTGTGTGTGTGTGTGTGT